AGGAGGAGGAGGATGAGGAGGAGGAGGAGGAGGAGGAGGAGGAGGAGGAGGAGGAGGAGGCAGGGGAGGAGGGGGAAGGAGGAATAGGGGAGGAGGAGGAGGAGGAGGAGGAGGGAGGAGGAGAGGAAGGAGGAGGAGGGAGGAGGAGGAGGAGGAGGGAGGAGGAAGAGAGAGGGGAGGAGGAGAGGAGGAGGAGGAGGAGGAGGAGGAGGAGGAGGAGGAGGGGGAGGAGGAAGAGGAGGAGGAGGAGAGGAGGAGAGGAGGAGGAGGAGGAGGAGGAGGACACCCCTCTGCAGACCCGGCTTGGAGTCGCCGGCTCTTGCCTCCACCCCTGCGGGGGCCCGCGCGCGCAAGGCTGGGGGCCCGCGGCGGCCGGGGGAGCGGGGAGAGGAGGCGCCCTCTTCCTCCTCCTCCTCTCTCCTCCTCCTCCTCCGCCTCCTCCCCTCCTCTCTACTCTCTTCCTCTCCTCCTCTCCTCCTCGATCCTTCCCTTCCTCTCCTCCTCCTCCTCCTCCTCCTTCTCCTCCTCCTCCTCCTCCTCCTCCTCCATAACCTGCTTTTGCTGAGAAGCGGGCGGGCGTTCCCCGCCACCCGACGGGGACCAACCAGACGGGGCCAGGACGAGGAGAACTCCGTTCCATGAGCGTCCCGGAACGCTCTCAGAGCGTTCCGGAACGCTCTGAGAAGGTCGCGGCGCCCGAGACATCCTCCAGAGCCGCCGGATCCCAGATATTGTCGACTTATGAACACCCGATGTTTTCCTCGTCCTTGCCTCGTCTTAGTCAACGTCAACGTGTCCGCGTGACGCGACGCCGCGACGGGGGCCAGATTCTCCCCGTCGGCGCACCGCGAGGGGGTGGTGGTCATTTTTGGCCAGGCATCGATTGCCTGCGACTAGGGGTCGATGTGGGGCTGTCGGTGGGGGTGGTGTGGCGCCCTCTCCACCCTCATTACTGGAAGCAGGGTACCCATGCTGCTGCTGCCCCCCACTCCTAGGCGCCAGAGGAGGCAGGGTGTGAATGAAGACCCCGGCGCCCGAGGCGAGATTCGTATCCATGCCCCCACTCCGGCCCCGTGGTGGGAATGGAGCGTGACCAGCGGCATGGATAGAACGTCGATTGTCCATCCTGACTCTACAGGAAGAGCATTCCAAAATAATTGAAAAATAGTCTGGGGACGATTTTTCGACGATGTTTTTCTATTTTGAAATCTGCTTGGTCAACTTTTTACTTTTCTTCCGAAATCACCCTGAAGGAGGACATTCCAGACCTAAGGGTACTCCATGAGGTTTGGGCGCTGTGCACTTTCTGTTCACACCTCGCATTTTTTCGCCCCGCTTCGGGCCAAGGGGCCCACAGAGAGCTTGGGTCTGGTGCTCACGGTGCTGCGTTGCTGTGCGCCACTGCGACGTCCTGACCCTTTCCCTTTCCCCGGGACCGGTTTCTCATCATGAGTCGTTTTCTGATGGCCCCGGTGCTGGGCGAGGGCCCCGAGAGGGCTGAAATGAAGAGAAAGCATGCGTCCTGATTTTTGTTCAACGACGCGAGCATGTCTCGGGCGGGGCATAAATCCGTTCCAGAGCGCTTCAGAACGCTCTGAACAGGCCGCGTCGCCCGAGACATCCTCCAGAGCCGCCGGACCTCAGATATTCTCGATTTATCCTCACCCTATGTTATCCTCGTCCTGGCTTTGTCTTAGGGAACCGGTCCTGGGAGAAAAGCTCCTGGGGGCCCCCATGCTGGAACCCAGGTTTGCCGCCGCGTTTCGACGAGCGAGTCTTGGATTGAGACGGTTCAGGTTTTGTGGGATGTCTGCAGCGGGAGCTCGCGTCAAATTTCGGACTGGGTCTCGTCATCCTCCTGACGGCCCCGCCAGGCCAACCGAGTCCCCCGATCCCGACTCTTGCGTCTCCCCATTTTTTGGACCAGAGGAAATCGAACAGCTAAATGTGCTTTTGTTGGAGCCCCGCGCGGATTTCTCAGACCGGCGCTGGACCTCCCCCCCGGCGCGCAGAGCGGGCCAGGGGCGGGAAAAATAGGCTATGCGAGATAGAGCTCCGCAAGTTTCATCAAATTTAGCTCAGGCCTTCCTCCACAAAATGAGCATTTGTAGAGGAAGAAGACACCACGCCGATCCCGGACATCCGCGCGCAGCTCTGGAGGGGAGAATAACACCAAGGGCAAGCAGCCGTTGAGGGGCCCGTCGGCGCAGCATGCCTTCGCTTCCGTCCGAAGGCGGGGCGCTGCCACAGCCGTGGCACGCTGGCGGTGTCCCTCGGCGGCGTGTCATTGGCACTGTTCGTTCTTCTCAGTTCCCGGGGGGGGGGGGGGGGGAAAACGCCATAAGCATAAACGTTTGGCGCTCCGCGCGGGCTGCTTGGATCCGCGCTGGCGTGCTCCGCGCGACAGGGATGGGGGTCCGGCGCAGATCCGAGAAATCCGTGCGGAGCGCCAAAAGTCTATGATCACGCCGTTTTGTGATGGTTGTCTTATTCATTGTCTTTCCGATCGGCGCGGGCCCTCGCCCCCCCCCTCACCCCCTCCCATGGAGTCGATCTTGGTTGTGTTTGGGACCCGTTTCAAGCAGGTGGAATCTCCTCCACAGGACGCACGGTTGCAACCAGGCGCACTAAGCGGAGGTCTGGAGCCAGACCCCTCCCCCTTGCCCCCCCCCCCGTTGTTTCGCTCAATGCCGACACGCCGAACAAGACAACGTTCGTGCTTTTCTCTTCTCAAAACTCCTCGTGGAGAAGAGGCGCGCGCTGCGGGCTTCCTGCGCCTGGGCCACGGCGGCGGCGGCGGCGCGGGCCCCGAGCCGTGAGAGCCGTCGGTGGGCGGCTGGAGGGGTCCGCCGGAGGGAGCACCGCAGTCGGGGTCGTCCAAGAGGGGGGCGGTGTCTGGGGCCTCTTCCCAGACCCTCTCGCGTTGTGAAAAAATCACGACGAGATGTGTTTCGCTATTTTCAGCCTCCAGGGGCCTTTGCTGGGCCTCGGGACCGTCAAAAAACGACTCAGGATGAAACACTGGTCCCGGGGAAGGGGTCGAGACTTCTGGGGGTCGACGTTGTGACAAAAATCACGACGTAGGGGTTCTGGGTTCGGATGCAATTCTTGGGCGGGCATGTTCTGACTTCGCCCTGGTCCGAAAGCCCGCTTCCAATTCGGCTTGCACTCCCGCTTCCTCTGGCTTTTGAGCCCGTTCACTCCCGCTTAATCCACTGCCTGATCCAGCGCAGTAGCCCCCTAATGGGGCTTCATTCTCTTGCAACGTCTCCGACGGACCTCCCAGCAGTTGCCTCCCAAGGCCTTGTCCCCTGAGGTCTGGGCGCTGCATTTTTTGTTTTTGTTTTTGCACCGGGCGTCTTCGCCCAGTCGCGGGCTCCGGGACCCTCACGGAACGACTCGCGGCTCCAAGCATGCAGCAGAACGATGGGGTTCAGAAGGGCCATGGTCGTGATGTTCCGCGATGTTGCATTTTTCGGGTTGAGCCAAAAGGGGGTCCAGCGACAAGGGGGTGGTGCAATAGATCTGGTGCTATAGATGTAAGGCCGGCGCCTTCTAAGAAGCAGCCTGCTTCTAAGAAGCCCTCCCCCATCCCCCCACCCCTATGTGCGCGCCGCCAATGAAGGGGGGTCCGTCCATCCCCGATTCAAGGCTTTCTTTCGTGCGCTCAGGTTAGCCGCCGTGCTCCAGCCTCGGGAAGAGCCCGTTCGGCAGCAGCGCCCCGCCGAGAGCGCTCCTGGGGCCGCCCGGACCGCTCCGCACGGCCGCCAGGCCGAGGTGAGGATGCTCGGCCAGGGCCATGACATCTCCCTCCTCCTCCTCCTCCTCCTCCTCCTCCTCCTCTCGTCCTCCTCCTCCCCCTCCTCCTCCTCCTCCTCCATCTCCGCCTCCTCCTCCTCCTCTTCCTCCTCCTCCTCCTCCTCCTCCTCCTCCTCCTCCTCCTCCTCCTCCTCTTCATGTTCCTCCTCCTCCTCCTCCTCCTCCTCCTCCTCCTCTTTCACCGCGTCCCCTGCCCCTGGCCCCCCCACCCTCGTCCGCGCGCGTGCCTCGGGGCCTGCCGCGCTGCGCCCCGCCTCCTGGCCCCACCCCCTCTGCGGCGCACCCGAGGTGGGGGCGGACTGCCCGACCCGTAGCAAACCCACCCCTTCCGTGGCGGCGGTTCCCCTATAGGAGGAGGAGGAGGAGGAGGAGGAGGAGGAGGAGGAGGAGGAGGAGGAGGAGGAGGAGGAGGAGGAGGAGGAGGAGGAGGAGGATTCGCTGAGGATTCGCTCGCAACGGATAGTCGAATCGGCCGAAGGCGAGGCGACTACGCTCGAAAACGGAGGTGCCCTTCATCCCAGGCCTGTCCTGGGCAATCGGAGGCCTCCGAAACACTGCTTCGTGGTGGGGTGTCTGCCCTGCCACAAGCGGTTCAAACGCCCAGCAAGGACCCGAGGATTTCCCCCTGGACCGCTGGTCCTTAGACCCCTCCATCGGCTTGTGGCGTACCTTGCGCACTTCCGACAGAATACTACCGCTTGAAGGCGCACCGTCTGGTGGCCTTCGGCTTGGGCCCGCCGGATCAACACTCCAAGCCCCACGGGAGGCCAAGGAGGGGGGTCCACAGGGCCCTGTGAGGACGGTGGAGTGCCAGCAGGGCTCTCCACTCCCTCACTGGGCGTCGGGGCGGGGGCGGGGCTGCCCTGGGCCCCAGAGGGCCCAGGGCCCTCGGAGGTGACCTCGAGCCCGTGGCCGAGAACCCCGACGTGCGCGGCGAATTCCAGAATATCTGAGACCAACTGGAACCTCTGGACGAACTCGGCCCTGCACCAGGCCTCGTGCTGGTGCATTTGCGCCCCACGCTTTTCGTAGGCGTCAGCTATTTTATTCCCAATGAACTGCTGGGGCCCTATTATGGCTCTTTGGGCCCTAGTGGCGTGGGCTCGGACTTCACAAAAGCTTATCCCTTGCTCACTTGTCCCGCCGTTTTCCTGCACGAGCCGCCAGCATTCCTGCCAGACCTCTTTGTGGGTCGTGTCAGCTCTGGCGGCCAGCTCGGGGCCTCTGGCGACGCCGTCGATCACCGACTGGCGGTCGCTGTAGACCCGCACTGGAGGCACCGCCCTCCTCAGGGCCTGGAGGACCGCTGCCAGCTCGTCCTTGTAGATCGACTGGTCGTGCTGCGATCCCTCCAGTGGCCCGAACAACGCAAACTCCATCATGCGCTCGCTGTCGAGCTTCACGACGGCCCAGCCGTCTGTGTAGATGTCCCCGTGCCCGAGGCCGTCGAAGGTGCCCTCCACCTCGCATGTGGATGAGGAGGGCAGGCTCCCGAGGTCATACTCCAGCGCTGGGTCCGCTGCGAGCCCTCTGCCCCAGAGCGCCTCGGAGGTCGCGCGCTGCTTCTCCGTCGCTCCAGGCCACGTCATGGCACCACGCTGGCATATGTGGTGCCCTCCCACTCGTCGTCGGTGATCCTGCCTGGCTGAGCTCACGAACGTCCTGTGGCGGTCCGTCCCTTCGTGCTCGTGGCAGGCCTTGCATATGCTGTCCTCTGCGACACCCTTGTCGAAGAGCCGCCGCTGCGGCCAGGTGCCGCCGCACCACAGGTTGCGCACCCGTGTCTGGTGCTCCAGAGTCCACTTCTTGTTCAGCGGCCTCTTGAGCAACGCGGCGACGGGCTCCACGAAGAGGCTGTCCAGGCCGTGCTTCTCGCCGTGTGTGCGCAGCCAGTCGCTCATGAGGCCGTTCTCTGTGGCCGTGCTGATGCGCTGCCTCAGGTGTCTGAGCGGCAGCGTCCTGAGGTCTAAGTGCTCGTCGCCGATGGTGATGCTGTGGGCCGCGAGCGTCTTCCAGCCCAGCCTCTGCACCGTGGCGATGACGGCCCCTGCGGGCCCTCGCACCTTCTGCCATGGGGCTCTGGCTTGCCCCACACGTATTACCCACTTCTCCCACTCACTCTGGAGCTGCGCCTGGAGGCCGTCCTGGTTGGCTTCCTCCTGCCACGCCATGGCCCAGCTGACCAGTGGCTCCGTGTTGGCGCGGATGGCGGGGTCGGCGCCCTGCGCGAGCAGCGTGAGCGGCGACGATCTCCCCATGGTGTAACTCCTGAATGAGGTCGCCACGCTCTGTCGCAGGGACGCAAGGGTGGAGTTGGGCATGCCCACGACATGCACCCCGTACATCGCCGACGGCACCTTCCCCTGTCTGATGAACGCCTGCGCAGGTCCCCCTGCTCGGCGTATGCGGGCGATGCGATCACGCCGCGCTGCGTACTTGCTGGCCCTCTTGCTGAAGGCGCTAACTCGTCTCCTCCTGTCGGCCGCGGTGGTGACGCCGAGGTGGTCGGCGTGCCTCACCATCCTGATGCCGAGCGGGTGCACTCTCTTGGCGAGGCAGTCCTGCAGCGCGGTGGTCGAGGCCATGGTGACTGTCTTGCCCTCCGCGCCCTCTGCTGCGTGGTGACCCACTGCCGCCATTGCGCTGCGGCCGCTCGGTGCACCATCTTCCAGTACCTCCTGCTGGCGGGGTCCAGCAGCGTGGCAATGAGGCCCAGGTAGTTCTGGGCGCGCTCGTCGATGTCTGTGACTCGCCAGTCTCGCAATGTGTGTACGATGAGCGGCCAGCGAATCGTAGTCCAAGTATCGGGTTCCTGCTGGCCCTCGGTGGGAGGCGCTCTGACCGCGAAGCGGTCCTGTACCCCTTCCGCCTCCTCCCGAGGGGCGTCCTCAGACTCCAGCAGCCCGTCCTCCTCGTCCGTGTCGTAGCCTGCCTCGGTCGTCTGCCCAGGTGCCCGTTCCGCGCACAGTGGCATGACGATGTCGTGGCTGAGTAGCTGCTCCTGTGCCGCGGTGCAGGGCATGGGCCTGCGCGGCTTCTGCTTGTAGTTGGCCATCTCGAGGTGGCCCTGTCGCTTGCTCCAGTCGTCGCCCTCGAAGCTGTGGTACCTGTGGAGGTGCTTCTCGTAGGCCTCGCCGAGCTCGCTCCAGTGGCCGTCGATCTGGCTCTGAGTGTACTTCTTGTGTGCGAGCGGCCTGAGCCATCGCACTGGCTGCGAGGGGCAGCCCGTTGGCCGCGTCAGCGGCCATGGCGTCCGCTTGCACAGCACGTTCGTCATGTAGTCGCTCTGCTGGTGCACTGGGACCCTCCTCCTGGCGGGCAAGTGCGGCGACATGTTGCATCCTTCTTGGACCTCTACCTTGAGCGTGTGTGCAGCCAAGCCGCGCGAGACGATGACGTAGCCACGCGTGCTCCTCGTGCCATCCTGCTTCAGGCAGCTGCCCTGCTGAGTGTCTCGCACGATGACGCCGTTCATCTTGCGGACGATCTCGGACTGCCCCAGCGGCGCTGGGTCCATGTTGAAGTCGCCATCGAGGATCCACTCCTTCTGGATCACATTCATGGCGGCGCCCCATTCGGCCAGGATGCGCTGGTTTCTCTGCGTGAGGCCCTCGCTGTTCTACAGGTACGCGGTACCTGGCACGAGCCCCGCATTGCTGTAGGCGTCGACCCAGGCTACTGTGAGTCTCCCCTTGGACTCTCGCGGGCTGATGTCCCACTGGTTGGTCTCCCTGCGCACGAAGTCCATGCCCCTACTCCGTGGCGTCGCTATCAAAACTCCAGCGCTGTGACCAGCTGTGGTCTTCACGCTGCTCACTACACCGATGTTCCAGCCCTCTCTGCGCATGCGGGTCTGGAGAAGTTCGAGCTGCGTGCCGCTGGCCTGCAGCTCCTGGCCCAGGACGATGGCGTCCTGGTTGCTGTCCCTGATCTGCTTCATCACTCGCTCCTGCGACCTCACCGTGTTGGCGTTGACCGTGTACGCGGCGAGTCGCCCCTTCGGGCAGCGGCGGTTGGTGCCGCCGCTACCCCCGCTGCTGCTGCACCCACTGGGTTTTGCTGATGGTGAGGGCGTGGCCAGTCTGCAGCTCGCCCACCAGCAGCTTAAGAGGAGCAACCACCTTGCCAGCCTGGTCGGGCGTGACCCCCACGTCGACGAGCGCCTTGCAGATGTCCTGCTCGCTGGCGCCCGCGGGGATTTCAAGGAGGTCCTCCTTGATGGGGCTCTCGGGGCAGCTGCGCTTGCGGTTGTCGGCGCTGCCAGCCCGCTCCTTGGCTGCGCGGGCCTGCTCCGCCCTGGCCTTATGCTGGAGGCGCTCGGCGTGCTGCTTGGCCCGCTCCTCTTCCTGTGCCTTCTGCTCCTTGGCGTGGGCGGCGGCGGCGACAAGCTGCTCCCGCTTCTCGCCCCCGTCGTCGCCGAGGCAGCGCTCCGCCTGCTCCAGGAAGGCGAGCGCTGCCGCCCATCCCTTCCCTGGCGGGGACGGACAGCTCCTTGATCTTCTTGTCCAGGGTCTCGAGCTTGCTGTCGAACTTGCCCAGCTTGCTCTTCTCGTCGGCAAGCTTCTCGTCGAGCGCGTCCCTCTGCTCCTGGAGCGCGTCGATCCTCTGCTGGCACTTGTTCTTCTGCTCCGCGACCCTGTTCCTGTCTCGTACCACTCTGCATTCGGTGAAGCAGCGCGGCACTCCCATCTCCAATGATGCCTGCTCGGCGGCGAGCTTGTCCTCGAGCTGTGCCACCTGCGGCTGCAGTGATTCCTCCAGGAACGGGTCCTCGGCGAGTTTCCTGAGCTCGGCCAGCTTTGCACGGTAGTGCTGCACCTTGGCGAGTTTCTCGTCGTGGCATTTGTCCTCGGAGGCCTCTCCTGCCGCCGCGCTGGAAGATCCTGCGGCTGCTTGCTGTCGGGCGTGCACCCCAGCACTTCCAGCAGTACTTGTACTTCGCTCCATTCTTGACGTTGCACGGCTCGCACCGCCACGTCGTGTTGCTGCTGCCATTGCTGTTGCTGGCAACCATCCGTTGGCTCCGACACTCGTGGCCACTCTGAAGTCTAAGTGTCAGTACATTCGGGGCATCCTGCAGGCGAAAGGAGGCGCGCCCGAGCGCAAAATGGCTGAGGAGGAGGAGGAGGAGGAGGAGGAGGAGGGGGCCCTGAGATCCAGGGGAGGGGGAAGAAGAAGAGGAGGAGGAGGAGGAGGAGGAGCTTAGGTCGGGCCCGTCCCTCTACAGGAGGAATATCTCCAAAGATAGTAACAAAAATAGTCCCGGGATGATGTTTTGGGCATTTTTGTAGCATTTTTGTGTATGTTTTGAGTCTTTTCTATTTTCGTCGAAAGTCACCCTGTGGGGGGACACGCCCGACCTAACCCCAGGCTCCGCTGCGCCGTGAAGCAGTTACTGCAGCAGGTGCTCCGCAGCTGCCGGTCACGGTAAGCTCATGCCCCGATGGCGCGCCAGCGACGCCAGCGAAGGCGTTCAAGGTTGAGTTCCGCGACGCGGGAGCACCGAGGGACACGGCGACGCCGTTGGACCCGACGGAATTCGGCCTTGAACGATCGGGGCTGCGATCGGGTCACGGTGGAACGATCGACGCGGTGTAAAAACCTTTGGGCGTGCTGACGCCACACGAGCCTGCCACACCTGGGACCCAGGACCGTCAGATAATGACTCTGGATGGAAGCAGCGCGGGCCCAGCCGCCGTCGTGCCGTGAAGCAGTCACGGCAGCAGGCTTGCTGCAGTTGTCGGCCCCACGGGGCCCTTGCAGGCGCCCCGGGACCGTCAAAGAGCGACTCGTGATGAGAGAAGCGCCGGCCCTTGGCAAGGGGTCCATCGGCCGCGCGCAGAGGGGATCCGGGATTCGGGGGGGAGGGCTTCTCAGGAGCACCTCTGCTTCTCAGAAAGCCGGGCCCTGTCTGTAGGTGTAAGGCCCGCGCCTTCTAAGAGGCAGCCTTCTTCTAAGACGCCTTCCCCCTCCACCTCCTTCTCCTGCTCCTGCTCCTCCTCCTCCTCCTCCTCCTCCACCTCCTCCTCCTCCTCCTCATCCCTCCTCCTCCTTCTCCTCCTCCTCCGCCCCTTCCCCCAGATCCCCCTTCTGCGCGCCGCCCAGCCCAGGGCTCCGAGGGCGCGGCGACTCGGGCGGCCGGGGCCTCGCCTCTCCCCGCGACGTGGGCAGGCACCCGCCAGGGAGCGGGGCCCTGGTCGGAAGGGCCCATCACGGGCAACGACATGGGGGGGATGGGCATAGGGGGGGGGGGACTCAGACATGCTCGCGCCGTAAAGAAGTGCAGTTTTCGGCCCCTGGGGGCCCTGGCTGGGCTCCGGGGCCGTCAAGAAAGCGACTCGGGATGAGGAATCGGCCCCGGGGAAAGGGTCGGGACTTCCGGGGACGCCGCACTGAGCAAAACCAGGACGTCGCATGCCTGGGGGTGCATCGATCTCCAATCGCCCACTGAAGCTGATCGCCGACAGGGGCTCGATAGCCCCAATCTGCCCAGTCGCGTGAGGTTTCGCTCTTGGGGGCCTATCGCCGATCAGTCGGCGATGCATCGCCGATTCCAGGTCGCTGTGTCCCCCCCTATGCCAGTCTCCCCCATCGTTGCCCCTCAGCGGACCAGGAGCGTCCCAGAGCGGGCGCCCGATGCGTCTTCCCCCGAGATCCGAAGCTCCGGAAATAGTTCGAGCGGCCCGTGTTTGGGCTATCTTCGGCCTCCGGGGGGCCCTCAACGGACCCCATGGGGTTCGCCCAGAATAATTGTTTGACGGTCCTGCAGGACCGTCAAACAATTATTCTAGACGAAAAGCCGGTCTCAGGCAAGTGGTCCAGACCTTCGGGGGTCCACGCATCGAAAAGAAACAAGGAGCGCCAGGTGTCTGGGGATGCGCCCTCCAGGACGCCTGACTCCAGAGCTCCCCAAGCCGTCCCGCACCGATGCTGCCCCAGCCCCAGCTTCGCCTCGCCTGGCCACGGAAGAGGTCGGAGGCCGAGCAGAGGGCGGCTCTTGCTGCCCGATGCCCCCTGCGCGGCACTGCCGCAGGCACTGCGGGGCCTCTTGGCCCGCCCCGCCCCTTGGCCCGCTGCCCACTGCGCCAGCGGGCTCCCCTCGCTCCGTCTGCCCGGCGGCGGTCTGCGGGGGCCCTGGGTACTCTCAATTCCGTAGTGAGGTCGGACCGAGGCGTAAGATCGAGGTCGGTTCGGGGAGGGGGCCCTCATGTTCTCTGTGCTCGTCAGATGCTCTCGTGCCTCCTGCGGGGGGCTTTCCCCAGGACGTGCCGTGTGTTCTGGCCAGCGGGGGGTCGTCATGCCCTGGAGGGATGATCTTCCGCCCTGGGTCCGACTGTAAAGTGGGGGGGGGTCTGATTTTGGGGGGGAGACTGATGAGCCTGTTTTCCACCACCACCACCATATGTTAGAGGGGGTAAGGAGGTGGAGGAGGAGGAGCAGGAGGAGGAGGAGGAGAAGGAGGACCCCCTTCCACCTCCTTACTTATGGTGGTGGTGGTGGAAAACAAGCACGCCAGAGTCTTGTTTGGGGCTTTCTTGGCTGGCTGGCTGGGGGGGGGGTTCTGAAGAAGAAGAGGTCTGGGTGGGTCTCTCCACGTGGTGGGGTCAGAAGCGGCCCGTCCGGAGGCTATCAGAACCCCTCCACTCTATTGACCGGAATTGTCGGAGGTGGATCGACCTCCTACCCTGACACGTCGATTAAGGAATTGGCTGTTTTCGGTTCGCGAGAGGGCGTCGCGGCCGTCATTTTGCGGGTCCAGGTCCGTCAGTTCCGGTCCCTGGCCGTTTTCGCTAAGGGGAGGTTTACTAAAGGGAGGTTGGTCCACCGCCGATTATTAACCGGAATTGAGAGTCCTGCGCACCGTCGCAATCCCGCCTTTGGCGAGCGTCAGCGCCGATGAGCGCCGATATAGTGTCGACTGAGCGTCGACGTCCCGTCTGAAGGTTATCAGACCCGCCCTTCTTTATGATGCGAGCAGCCAATCTTGGGAGCCTTGTGCACCGTCGCAAGTCCGCCTTTGGCTTTGGAGAGCATCAGCGTCGACTTAGCGTCATCATAGCGTCGACTGAGCGCCGACTTACGTACTTAGCGTCGACTTAGCGTCGGGTCGCAGAGAGGCCAAGGGAAAGGTGGTGTGGGAGGCTCCCACGAGATGCTGCAGAAGGGACACGCACCGCCCACCAAACCACACCAACCCGACCCGAAGGCCCCGATTTGCCCTCCACTTCCAGAGGGGGACGTCGGGGAACATGGAAAAAAACACGGATGGAGTCCGCCCCCCCTCGCCCGAAATTCGGGTCTCCGGGTTGGGTTGGTTGGGCTTGTCTGGTAGGTGATCACTGGCAGCGGCGTCCACTGCTCCCGTGCTTAGTGGGCCCCGGAAACTTTTCCGAACAAGTGCCCCTTGAAAATGGAAGCGGCAAAAAACCGGCGACCGGAAACGGCAACAGAAACGGCCCCAGGATTGGCACCGGAGCGGGAACCCCCGCAAGAGAACGGCGAAGCGGAGCCGGTTCAAGAGCGGCGTCGGAGCCGGCAACAAAAAGGGCAGAACGGAGCCGGCAACAAAAAGCGGCCCTGTCGTTTCTCCAGGGCCCACGGAGCGCCCGCGCCCCCGCGTGGTGGAGCCCCGGGGCGGGGGGGTCCTTCGAGGGGGCGGCGAGGGGGAGGGCTTGGCATCGCCTGGACGTGTGCATTTTTTCTCGGCGAGAAACCACGAGGACCATCCTCACCACCCACCAAACCACCCCAACCCAACCCGAAGGCCTCAATTTGCCGTCCATTTCCAGTCGGGGGGGGGGGTCTGGGAACATCGAAAAAACACATCTGGAGCCCATACACCCCCCAACCCGAAATTCGGGTCTTCGGGTTGGGTCGGGGTGGTCTGGCAGGTAGTCACATCCTGGACCATCGAGGAAAAAAACACCGCACGAAACCGAACAGTGCACGGGAAGTGGGCGTCCGAGCGACGGCAAGGGGGGGGGGATGGCAGGCCCAGGGGGCGCCACCCTCGGGTGCCGGGGCGCCCCTGCCTCGCAGGAGGGGGAAAAACACGCAGACACAAGTGGCCGTCGATGTCGCAGGAAATATGGGAAAGATCTGGGAAATGGGGGGAAGACAAAACCGAGGAAGTATAGGAAACTGTCGAGAATCTGGTTATTTGTTTGTATTTATTGGTGTGTCCCGGGGCTTCACATTCCTCGCCGATGGAGATCCGATCCCGTGGCTCGTAGAACAAGAAGCGGCATCCGCATAATAATACAAAGGGGGGGGTAGGCATAGGGGGGCAGGCATCGACCCCAAATCTCGAGGAACCAAAGAAACGGCATCAACATGATTTCTTGGCGCTCTGCGCGGATTTCTTGGATCTGCGCCGGGTCCTCCTTGGCGGCGCCTCCAGCGCCGGGGGGCCCAGCTCAGAGCCAAGAGATCCGCGCCGACCGTCAAAATTTTACGGTTACGCCGTTGTTGCTTCCTCTTTTGGCATCGCTCGGACTTGCGCATTTTTTCTCGGCGAGGGCTATCGAGAGACATCTTTGATCATCCAGCGAACGATACACGCATGAGATCGAAAAATGCACTCAGAATGGACATCCGAGCAATAGGGGGAAGGAGGAGGCTTCTTAGAGGCCCCCCTGCTTCTCAGAAGGCGCGGGCCTTGTCTGTAGATGTAGGGCCCGCGCCTTCTGAGAAGCAGCCTCCTTCTAAGAATCCCTCCCTCCCCCTACCCCCTTGTGCGCGCCGCCAACCTTTCGACCAGCAGTCGGCTGATTTAGTGATCTTGGCGAAGGGGCAGACCATTGAATACATACAAACTTTCGGAGCTCTGCGCGAATTTCTGGAATCCGCGCGGGACCCACGC